GATGAGAGTTTGTTTATCCCTTCTTCCAACCTTTGAAGAATGACCACGGACGCTTGGAATGCTCGAACCACTTGTCAAATTCCTGCTCACCCGTTTGTTCTCTAATTTGACGTCATCCGCAAAAGTTGCGTGACTTGTTCGCAAGACCATTTGATCACTTACACCCATGTGATGTATAAACTCTCATCACGTCTGAATAGTGAAAAAGCCAGCTGGAGACTTTTGTCACTCTACCAAACACACAGTTTGTAGGACTACAAATTTGTGCCATTCTGCAGCTGTAACGGTAGGGGGCTTCCCAGAAAGACAACAAACGTGATGAGTAATGTATGACCAGTGGTCTTTATTCGTATCAAGATCTACGCTATGTACTCAGAACTCCAGTTCTCCTATATTACATGTGAAAAGCCATTCTCCCGCTCTGGCACCATTATTTTGGTCAGACCACAACAACGGGGCGGAAGCACTGGAGTCGAGATTCCTTCGTGTGGGAACTCACCAACCAGGAATGCTTGGCCATGCTGAGATTTGAACTCCACACATGTGACATCACGTCCGCGGAAGACCTGACAAGTGGGTCAGTGGATCAATACAACCAAGACACCTACTGGGTCTTCGTTCAAATCACTCAACGGTGAACGTGTTCGCCTGTTCAGATGTGTCCAGTGTCATCTGGCAGAGTAGTTCCTGAATGCATGCCTCGAATGTCAGATGTCCGGAGGTCAAACCTCGGTACGGCCAAGGATGAACGAAACTCGAGTCCACTGCTTCCTCCCGTTGGTATGGACTTGTCAGAATGATTGCGCCAGGACAGAAGAACGAGTGGTTAAACCAGAGTGACACGAATGGGAGCCGAACCTGTCCTTCGGTTGTACCTCCTGTCGTGTCCGTGAAATCCAACGTATGATTGTGGTGATATTCTAGGCTAGTTTAAACTTTATCGTCATTTCTTAAACACCGTTTATCCAGTATAAGGTATTCTATCATTCTGAGTGTCTCATTCGATTAGTATCGCAACAGCTCAGAGAAAGGATACTTTCACTGGGTGTGTGAAACTTCCTTGTGAGGAGTACTCACTCGAGGAACTAGTCGATAACTGACCACGAGATGTGAATTCCGCTTATTGAAGAGTCAGTGAGCCTATTCTAGGTGAGAGCTAATCACACACTACTGATCAGAGCCACTCGTGGTAAAACGGTTGAGTTTTCAACCAGTGGTGGAGAAATCACGGGTTCGAAACCCTCCAGGTTTCGTTAGATGCGCACTACTGTTGAGGATAAGTAGCCCTAAGGTGCTTCTTCGCTGTGCTAGTTGTGCGTTTATTCGATGAAAGAGCTCGCAGTATAGGCATTAAAAAAATTTTCAGGAAACGGTGCAAAACTCACCGACACTGATCATCCTTCTGGGTGATGAAGGAGCTTTATCCTGAAGAGGGCTTCGGACGGTGGTACACTGAAGATCGGGGTTAGATGCCTATTAAAATAGACAGATGGATGTCGGTTATTCACTGCCACTGTGCCATTTCAAGCGAGAAAAAATTGTACTAGGTGCTCGAGAGACCGGATGAACCCCTCCTGATTCTTTTATGAGGTGGCACGAGAACGAAAGCCATGAGACTATTCAAAAAACGTTGGTGACACTGGTGGCGGTGTGACTTGGGAAAGAGACGGCGGGGAATTGGGCAATATGTAGGATGTTCGTCAACGCAGATAGGTGTTTTGCTGACAAGACGAGGCTCGGTGTTCACGAAAAGCAGTACGTGTGACAAGAAGCGGATCCAGAATGTACAAAGCCATCAACATATTCACTTATCATGCAATGGTCTGACAACAGCGGAGCATTAGGAGTGAACAATAATGCGCTACTACTGAAGCTAGTAGTGTTGATGAGGAACCTGGTGGTACTGATGATATGACCACGGTGATAACCGACATTACAAGACCGAAAATGCAGACGGAAATAGTGTAAACTCTGAAAAGTTTATGATAGTGTTGTTAGTGGTGATGAGGCCCATCAGGGAAATGATAAGATTGATGGCAATGTTGACAACTGTGATGACGATGAGGATGAGGATAACGATGTGATGACGATATTTCTGATTATGGCGTTGTGAATGCGTGCATAGGTGATGCTTACAAGCAGCAGGATGAAGACTATACTGGTGATGATGTATCCAATGATTAGGATAATGATGATAAGGTGAGTGGTAAGATGATGATGATGATGATGATGGTGAGAATGATGATGATGATGATAATGATGATAATGACGATGATGATGATGATGATGATTATGACCGACGAGTGGGCGAGTTGCAACCCTCACTAGGTACAAAAATGCTTGATGCTGAACTAAGAAGATGATCAGTACTCACAACCTTGGTCGATTCCTAATCGTGGAGTAGATTGTCTGGAGTGTTCGATAGATCACTTTGATAGGTGTTTTGTGGTACGTTCAGAATGAACAAAATTGATAGTGTGTCGTTGAAAAGTTATGGGTGATCATGAAGGAATGAGTACATGTTCTTTGAAATATCGGCTCTACACTGATGTAGGACTGACGTAGCACTGAAAAGTACCCAGGCTTTATATTCTATCTTTTCCACAATCGATTCAAAAGCAACGTTCTATTCAGATTAGAAAGGACAATCGTTGAAGCCGTTAACTTCACCTCTTATATTCTTATCCTTTTGAAAAATCTTTCGTTCAAGCGGATCAAATCAGCACACCTCACTCAAAGTTTGAGATGTTCGAGGTGTGCAGAAACGAAAGGTTGGGTGGATCTTTTTAAAAAATAGTCTGGATGTTTTCTCACGAAAGTACGACTGTTTCCTTGATAAATTCCAGCTAGACTGTGGTAGGTATTTCTCTCCATTTCGGATAGAATTCTAAATCACATGTGTCAGAGTTCTTGCAGAATTTATGAAATTTCTGGTCGGAACGATCCCGTCATAAAGAATTACACCTGCTCGTCAGGCCTGACATTTGTTGCCAAGCCAGCCAGCCAGCCCGCACTAACTAACTAATCAATCAATGTGACTGGGCTCGTGACAGACCTGACAGATAGCGCCTAATAGGCAGCTAGTGATAAAGTGATACAATGCAGAGGTAGGTCGTGAAAGAAGTTCATCATCAGTTCAGGCTATTTTGCCAAACTGAGAATTACTCACTTTCATCTGGCTAGGACCAGAGTTTTCCGACATTTCTGCAATGAGAGTTTTGTGAGATGTCATACAATTTGAACCTCACTGACGCGACTGTTTTAACAAACCTTGTGATGGAAAAGAACGATCAAATTGAAAGATACGCGTCTAGTGTTAACTGAAGTAAAGTGTCACATCAGATAGAAATCAATAGTTGAAGAGACAAGCTGTATAATCCTCTGTGTGCATCAGCTGCGTGGTGGCATTTAAAGCCCAAAATTACGTTTACCGTCAGGCCTTCCGTTTCAAGGTCAGAAGTTCTACCAAACAGGAACAGGCAACCTGCCAAACTGTGGTTTAAAACTTCCTATATCACTAGAATTATTCAGTTACTGAAGAGTTCATCCATCGCACGGTGCTACCGTGGTTTATTCCCTCATGTTTCACAGAGATCTCTGATATTTCCGCAAACCAAAGACTTCTCAGGCTACCTCACGAATGTCCTGTTTTTCATCGGTCTTCCGGATTCAATGTGTCGAAACATCGGAAGAAAACAACGGGATAGTAATCATCTGGAAACGTCCGCCAAAAGAAGCAGGGTAAACCTAGACGAGTGATGAACAGATATCGATTTGGTTGACTGGATCGCTTTGACATGATCCATCCTCCAAACGAAACAGCGGAATCAGTACATACTCAGTACATGCAATCTCGTTCGGCACTCCATCATGATATCCAATCAGGTAAGCCGCACCAAAGTCAAGTGCATTAGGCAAACGTAAATGAGGAAAGCAAACTGTATTCTCAACAGACAAGCATCGCTTGACTCCGAGGCGCATCGCTTGACTCTTTGTTTGCCAGATATCTTGATAGACTTTGTAAAGCAAACTGAACGGTAGCTACAATTCAGCATATATTTGTTTAAACTGGATATTTCCGTTTCATAAACTGAGACATGTAGAAAAGCGTAAATGCCATGCATTGACAGAGTGCTCCCTCCCAGTTTGCACCTGATTTCGGTCGCGTTAGAACACAACTGGCAGCTGAATGACTACCCCCATCGCTTGAATCTTTGTTTGCTAGATATCTTGATAGACTTTGTACGGTGACTACAATTCAGCAGATATCTGTTTACGCTGGATATTTCCGTTTCATAAACTTGGAAATGTAGAAAAGCGCAAATGCCATACAGTGACAGAGTACTCCCTCCCAGTTTGGTCGCTAAATATACAGCTGATTTCGGTCGCGTTAGAACACAACTGAGAAACATCACGTTTCGTTACGAAAGGTTAGTGAACATCTCACATTTCTAACCAAGATAAGCCTACTAAAAGGCAGTTGTTAAAGAGGGAGTGAAGTATTCTTCGAATCTGAAAAAAGCTCAGCTTCATCCCATTTGGACCGCTCGTTTCTAATATTCTCCAACAGAATGTGCTGCGCAAGAGGATGCGTCATGTTTCAGTTTGTACGAGAGTTATTTTGTTTTCTCCTTAAAGGCAACCTGAAATGAATACCAACCTGATAAGCCCCAAGAAGGGCGAAACCGGTTGTGAGCTGTCGAAGAGTTTTCGGCCACCTTATTTGTAGTGTTTCTTAAAAAAACGTCGCTTCTCAATGTCCGGAGGGCTGCCATCCCTAATGAATGGACATCCGATCAATTAGACGTATGTGTCACGTGCGGGCTACTGACCGGACGAAGGCATGCCCTGATTGGTCAGAATGCCAGCCAATCTGGATCGTGCATCTTTAGCTCGACAGCCACTGACCGACAAGAACAAAAGCGACCCGGGAAACTTGGGCAATAGCCTCGATCCTCTGTTTCAGTCCGTGAATCCGTGACGCTTCTCGCCCCCTCACGGGGAGTCTAGTACGACCTTGTGGAGCATTCTGTGATCACCTTATACATACAGTTGCAATAAACTTCCTTTGTGACCAAAAAGAGATGTCTGGAGCTACCGTGCGTTTTGAGCGGAGCAGGAAGCTAAGGGACCGATATAGAGTTGCACAGCAGTTCAGCAAGACACAACACTGAAGAATCTTGCTCGCAAGTGACCACACTGATATGCACAATACAGCGCATTTTGCACACCCAGACAGGTAAAAGCCCCTTACAAAATTTGTATCCTCAAGCCTGCTATGAGAATCATCGAATAAAACAGAGGTTCGAACATGAAATTTAGTCAGTTGTATCAACTATCTCTCTTCTTATTTCCATGTGCCTTATTTAAACAGCGGAGTTGAATAAGGACATGCCAAAGGGGCTTGCCGTAATAATTCTCGTTCAGTTGTTGGTTCATTTCTAGTCACAACAAGAAAACTGTTTCATCTCCAAACACATATCCGGGGAATCTCGAGTTGTGAGTCGTCACAACAAGTCATTTGGTTCTATACGGAGAGGCTGCTGAAAGTTCCTCGAGAGCCAACTTCTGACTTCACCCTTCTTGTGACTCATCAAGTGACCATCGTTCACCAGTTTTCATCATCCATATGTTCTAACTGAAGATCATACTTCGACGGTAACATCCTACCTTATCTCGGGTGTCTGGTCAGGTGAGATATAAGACAGTGTCTGTGCAGCACATTCATTCAAAGAATATCGTTCAGCTGTAGCACCCTTCCTAACTGCGATGCCACCCGAAGGAATCACAAGGGCTGGGATACTGCCAGGTTGCCCAAACCTAGACAAGGGAAGTCGAGAGGTAGAGTTCGGGTTCGAACCACGGACCTTCCGGTCAGTAAATTCGTGCTCTAACCACTTGAGCCATCTCGCCCCCCTCAAAGAATATCATGAACGGGAGATCAACAACAGTCTTATTTGTGAATGAGTGTATTCCACCTGGTCGTACGATCGTTCTCAACACAGGATACGCACCCTCCATTTCATCGTCATCGCAGAACAACTTTGGCGTTGACCAAAGCTCAGCCCATCAGATTGTTTCCACCCACCTGACCCCATTGGGTAACTGACACTCACTTTACCACCTTACCGTTGTGGATGACTGACTTGAGTCGGAGGCAGGTCTACCGTTCAACATAGGGTGAAAAGGTAGATGCCTGCCATAAAACGTCTACGCGTCGCCGAATGCAAATAGGCGATGGATGCTTTACGTTGCGTCAGAAGACAGCTGATGATTAGCAGTGGACAAGCTATTGAATGGTAGTCAGTTTCTTCACGACTTAGCTAGCAGTTGTTGTGAAAGCCTAGCCCTGCTGAAAAAAGTCAGAGGAATGGATCGGAACTCACCACGACTGGTAGTTTTCTTTGGTTCTCCACTGATCACGACCTACAATAGGTAACAAGAAATGTCCAGTGTATAACAGTTGAGTGTGGGTGTGTGTGATCGAGTGATATTTACGAATTGCATTTGGTTCGGCCACAACTTGACAACAGTCAAGATACGATCAAGGCACAGTGCCCTGATTCAGAGGCCGAGGTTTTTTAGCGATTAGCAAACCGCTGTAGGTCAAACTTCACCAACCTTGTCTGCGTTCATAGAGTTTTGGAATAGGGCACGTGATCGCCATGGCATCGATCAGCTGACCTCTAAGTCAAGTAGCCAATGTCCACCCAGGGATTTCCTAACTTCTGTATATCGATTACGTGAGTTCGTATCGAGTACCATGCTCCTAGGAACCCCTTTGGTGTCGTGTTTCTGGGGTTCGATACCCCCACGATTTCTAGGGCGAATTCGTGTCGTTCTTGGTTCTCATGTGTTAAAATCGAGGAGACCAGATCATGTTGTGCTGCTGTCTGTTCTTCCATCCGTCTAGGTGGCTTCCATCCTGTTTATCTTAAGTGGTATTCGCGGCGGTTGGTGCAGGTAACTCGATAATTAACCAAAATGGTTTTTCAGGTGTTCTGGTTGATTGTGCCCTTCGGTCTTGAAATCAACCTGCTCAATGTATCCTTTGGTCTAAAAACCATCAGAATTTCTTTTGGTTTTAGTACCCGTGCTTTGAGTTTCGTGCGAACAAGACATACATAAGCACAAGGGGAACTGCCAACCCGTCAAGCACAGATGATGTCAGCTCGGTTGCCCAAGAAATATTCACAATAAGATTGATCTGCACAGCGACCAAAACAACGACTATGAATACGCGTAATGCACTACTCATAAGGTTGCTGAAAATCCTTCGATAGCCCACGACCGGTTTTGCCCTTCTCGGGGCTCATCAAGTAGGCGCAGACCCCGAGTTTCTGCCAACCTTATGGTCCACTTAAAAACAAATTGCATGAAATTAGCGAATAAATTTGGTTTTGCGAGAGACTCACCTGTAACCCAGCTGAATCTTTCGTTTGTTTTCCAGGCAACTGAATGCGCTGCACCAGGTCGCCTCATGCTTCATTTGGTACATCATAAACGCGAGATTCAGCTGGGTTCCAGGTAAGTCGCAAAACCATATCTGTTTGCAAATGAGTGTATTTCGCTAACGACTATTAACGTCCCCGGCTTTAATTCAGAGGTGGATCGCACTGACGGTGAGATAAGAGAATTAGGAGAGCAAACCAAGGGAGAGAGAATAAAGACGGGCAAAGGAATAAATAGTTGGAAGTAGCCGGCAATAAGAAGCGAATGCTTGCTTAGGCACAGCATCACCGATATGATGCGATACCGGAAGCCTTCTCCGAATGCTTGCTTAGGCACAGCATCACCGACACGATGCAATGCCGAAAGCCTTCTAGACACCGATCAGAGTGCTCATCTGTCCTCAGCCAGGCTATCAACATTTGCCGTTCTTGTCAGTTAGTTTCATACAGATTACTCAGGTTTCGGACAACTAATCGATAATAAGAAATCGGGCGTTTTTGATTGGATCAGAGATTGTATTGTGACAGTCACTCAGCAAGTCTGATATGCGTCAGACGATGCCTTTAACGTTGGTCAGGACTCCAGAGGAAGACGGGTCTCATAGAATCCCTAAAAAGTGTGACTCTGACGGATACGAGCACAAACAACAGAGCACGGAAAGGTTATTCCAAACGATAAGCCATCCGCGAGTCGCACTAAGGGAAATGTTGCATGTCACGTAGCTAGTCAAGGTCTCGCTGTTCGGTATTGCAGTACGGCGTTGCACTTTGAAGCACCAACTGGGCAACACTCTCCCGACAAACATTCCAAGACCACTTTGTAGCGGGGGATCTATGTTCGCCATCACAGAGTGTTGATTGTGACATCAGAACGTCAAATGGAGATTCGCATCACTGCTGAGTTATACTTTTCATCCGCGCGAGACAGTCTACACTCCGAGTACCTTGATCCGACAGCCCTCCGGGGAAAATGAATCACAAACAACCCCCGTGTCTAGGAACATAAATTTCCCGACTGCCGGATCTTGATTTCAAACGTCTGACGCAAATTGAAAATGTGATCGACAATTCTTCGACAACGAAAGCAGTTCGCCCGCCAGGTTTGACACAATCCTCAAGAAAAGAGAGATAATCCGAAAACGTCAGAATCCTTTTTCTCTCTGAAGATAAACGGCTTCACTTTGACACCTTTCCATCCTGAGCATACAAGCCGGAGGATGTATATGAGGACAGGTTAGCTCGGGTTGTTCTCCATTTGGTTAGTCATCCATTTGGTTGGAATGTGACCGCATATTCTGAAAGTAGATGATCAGGAATGAACTGATAGGCCGCCGGGCCACTGGACAAGTTAGATGGAAACCAATTCAGGTTGAAAGATGCAGAAGGGGGCGAAGGTGAGACCTTGATTCGAGTCTCCGTAGGTGGCGTCCCTGGCTGGTTCATTGAAAAATTGTACAGCTTCCTGTCTTGCGTGATGTCTTTAGAAACTATCAGCCATCTGCTGTCTCGAAGCCACGGTTATTTGTCGAATGCGCGCGTTTCTGTCAAAGTTCTCCAAACAGCATATAGTGACTTTCAGTGTGGTGTTGCTTATACCTAAACGGTTCACATACAGCTAACGCCTAAGTTGTTCATTATATACAAACCGGAAAATCGGTAGGTGTCATGCCTACAACCAGCTGGCAATCGATTAGAGTTACATGACACGTGACAGTTTTGATAAGTAAGGCCTGAGAGGTGCAGTGTGTGAGAACAGAGGGAAAGGACTTACTTTAGCCGTCACAGGAATGGCGTTCTCCTTAATTGCTACAATGGGAAATTACTCAAGGTCTCATCAAGCGTTTTAGGGATTGATTCCTAATGTGTACTCTGATACAAGCATCAATCAGTGAAGACTCAACGAAATCACCAGAGGAATGTGTGTGGATCATGGGTACACGAGTTAGGTCACAGAAACAGGCTATACGAATGCATGCTCAGATACTAATGAAAACTGATTTTCTGACTTGTCCAATATATGGTTCTCAAAATATTGGGTCCCTAGATCCAGTGATCATTTGTCAAAGTAGAATGATTGAAAAACTGCCTAGTAATAGGCATAAATGGAACGGTCTTCGTGTTCATTTCCCGCTTAGTTCCCTGAGTAGCATTCTTCGCTTGCCTAATGGGTGATGTCTACACTGATCAACGTGCTTGTGCGATTAGCAAACGTGAAGAGTTTCATTCAAACTGAAGTCTACTAAAGTCACTAGTCCTAATACACTATCAGGAAGGTCAGATTCTTGAAAGCAACATCAGAACGCCCGAAACCTACTGCTCCACCAAAAACTCTACTGGAAAGCCGGAAAGCATCCAGGCCAGTCAATCACTCAATCAACTTAGCAAAAGCTGCTAAGTGTTCATCAAGCACGACCGAATGTGATCGGCGTTCAGGTATTTCGCAGAGGCACGATCATGTGACAGGTGTTCACTAACGCCTATTAGACAGCCTGGATCAATGTTAGAAAGTCGCCTTTAAATAGCGTGGGGCCTTTGTAACTTTTGCTCCCGCACTCACTCGCTTGTTCGGAATACAGCTGTTGTGTTCCCTTCTGTGAGTCCTTTCTCTCCGACACTAGGCACTGGAGCGGGTCAGCAGCAGGTACCACAGATTGACCAATCAGCAGATATAACATATACTAACGGTACAATACCGTTTAATAAATAGCCTACATGCCAGCAAGTTGAATTAAAGCAAAGAAGGTGTCAGCCTGCTTGCCGAAATTTCAAGTCTACTTGCGTCAAAATGACCAGTAAATTGCTCAGCTCTTAACATACCTAACAAGGTTTCAAACCAAACATTAGAACTACACCCCAGCTTGTTAAGCGACGTTAGATAAGCAGGTATCGAAAAGTGCAACACAGGTGGAATTGAATTACTCACCGGGAGCCTTTTGCGGTTTCGGAGTCGTCCCCTCCTGTGATGTCACAGATGAAATGTTCAGGAAGAGAATTCTTTAATGAGAAGACGTGTGCATCGAAAAAGTGTCCTAATTCGTTCAAAATTCGCCTCGGCCTGGTGTGAGATCACCTCTAAGGGGAGCCAAGAGCTGAAGAGAGGCAGGCGGTCTCCTTCTGCGTGGATTACCACATTATAAATCCACAGTATTGGTGTGTGAGTAGGTACCATACTCAGAAAAGATCATTCTTGTCGACTTTATCGTGAGGACCACTTAGAAAATGCTCTGCAGTTGCTAAATGGATGAATGATGTCAGTCTCGTTTGTCCAGTTGCTTAGGGGATCTCAAATACCGATTTTTCGGACTGAATGTGTGGAAGTACTGAAAAGTTTCCTCAAAGTTGAATAGCATCTATATAATCTATCAAGTCAAAAAGTTAGGTCACACAAAGGCGCTCACATCCTGAAACTCAAAAACAACAAATCCAGACCTATCCTGCATGTTCTATCGACTTCTGCATGTTCGCCTACAGGAACGCTATCTCGTGTCCGTGTGTGAGGCTTGAAAGAAACCGGACCAAAGCGGGATTGCGTCACATTCGGCAGAAACAAAGTCATGTCATTGACAGAGAGTACGTCTTCAATATCATAGACAGGATAACTCAGAACCGACCACGCTTGGTCCGATTCAGACCGTTATTGATAGCAGAGGTGATTAGAATCCAACGGCATTTGGCTACTATGCGGTGCGGAAACTGTTTTGGCACTCAAAAAATTCACGAAGTAAACTCAGTCTTATCATTGAGTAAGCGCGCATTCTAAGTGAAGAAACAGATATGGGCAGCTATTTAAAGAACAACATTTGATCTGGCCGAACAATTTCGATGTGAAGAAAGTCAACATAAAAACATTTGTCATGAGACTTGGTCAGCTTCTTGGAAGTGCTACATCTTGGCCACGTTTAACGGCCATAACTACCGTCAGTGTTTCGCATTGGTGCATTTCACGACTTGAAATGCCTTTTTAGTAAACGTCTGGGCCGTGGAAGATGAGCTTTCTGCATCTATGGCACAGCAAGCCACTGTAAGTGAAGCCGGTCTACGCTAAAATGTCGTGGAAATCGCCAACGGCGGTCGCTTATGGCCGAACGACGAAGTCTTCAGGAGGTTGCGGGTTCGAGCCTCGCACTGGTGATCACTTCCAATAAAGATGAAACAGCTGTACAGTGCTTTTCGGTTTTTCAGCATAGACTGACTTAAATCACAGGACGAAACCTAAACTTTTCCCGAGCTCTTCACACTACTAGCAGTGTGTTGGTTTGGAAGAACAGACAACTGGTCGTTCAAAGAATTCTCAAAATGCTCTTAGGGATGGCTTTAGTTTTAGAGTTGCCATGACATCCAAAACAACATACGACGGCCTACTGGCCAAATAACTCGCGCGTGAAACTGGGCCCAAATGTTCACTGAGTTTTGTCCCATAAAGTTGTGCCTCCTGGGTGAAGGACAGGCATAGACGTCCAAGCAGTTCAACCATGACGCATGCCACCCGAAGAAAGCATGAGGGCTTAGATACTGTCAGGTTGCCCAAGTCTGGACAGAAGCATCCAAAATGCCGAACCACGGACCTTTTGGTCAGTTAGTTCGCTCATTCACCACTGAGCTATTTCGGGCTCAATAGTAAAAGATGACTCGGTGACGTGGGAGTTAACAGATACATATACTACTTTCAATCCGCTACACTCCCTGTGTCCCACTGCTTATAACAAAGTGAATCGGAAGGCAGATATCAGACGGATTCAGACGGAATTAAATAACGTGCGATATATAGACGTAACACACTACTCATAAGGTTGCTGAAACCTCTTCGACAGCCCGTGACCGGTTTGGCCCTTCTTGCGGCTTACCAGGTATGCGTAGTTCCCAATTTTCCGTTAACCTTATGTTCCACATAAACCCACCTTACATGAAATGCACTCATTTACGAGCCACCTCGGTTCTGCGGAAGACTCACCTGGAACCCAGCTGAATCTCTCTTTTAGGGTATATTACGACTGTACATGTATCGCGATATCTCGAATATCGTACCGACATGATGCGGCCTGGTGCAGCACATTCAGTTGCCTGGAAACATCACAGACGACAGATTCAGCTGGGTTTCAGGTGAATCTCCTGTCAAAACCAAATTGGTATGCAAATGAGTGTATTTCGCCTACGTGCTATTCGATTTCTCAAAAATCGCCTATTCACGGATGTCATGGAAGCACTAATGACGTTTCGTTTCTAAGGTGTTGCTAGACGACATGTGAAACAAGCCGACGGAGGGGGGGGG